GAGCTGGCCAGTGAGATGTCTGTGGAGTGGCGCGCGCTGTGACTCTGATCTGACCTGACCTCTCCACAGTGAGCTGGCCAGTGAGATGTCGGTCGAGTGGCGCGAGTTCTGGCCGTTCTCGGCCGCCACCTGGACCTCTCCTCAGAGGAAGGACTTCAGGCACTCGAGGAGCATCTTCACAAACAGATCTGCAAACTCATGGATACGGTCAGGGACGCATCTTCTTAGGGGGTGGACTGTTCAGCCATTCATAGGCCTAGGCGTGACTTGTTCTGTTTTGTTAGCCATGACTTGAACTTCAGCAAAGGTTCGGGAATCGGAATCATGAAAGCGCATGATGATGCATATTGTTTTGACCCGCAATGGATATTGGTGCTTAGGTGGTCTGAACCCTGATGACATTTGTACTCGGAGGACCCAAAGCTCTCAACATGTCATTTTCAGTCCGTGTTCTGTCTTATCTCCTTGTTTGAGGTTTCGTCTGATTGTTTTTTTTTTTTCGTTTCGTTTCTTCTTCAGACGGCGAACCTGGAGGAGGTCGCCCGTCGTCTCTCCCCCTCCACCCCTCCCGCCCCGCGCTCACCCCTCGGTCCAAAGACCCCTCTCTCCTCGCGCTCCTCTCCTCTCTCCTCGCGCTCCACGCCTCTCTCCCCTGTCAGCGCCCTCTGTCGCGATCTGCACGAACTGCGACTCGAAGACCGCACGGTGGAGGAAGAGGCCGAGCAGGTGGCGCCACCTATATCGCCGACAGTGGCGCCGCGGCGCGGCCGGCTGCGGGAACTGCTGCGCGGCCGGAGTTCAGAGCCGCTGCCGAGGGAGCTGGACAGTGACAGCGAGGCAGAGGAGGAGTTTTACACGCCGCCGTCATCGGCCGAATCTGCATCGCCGGCCACACCCGGTCAGGCGCCCGAGGTCTTCATACACGGGTGAGACCGCGATCAGACTCATTCATTTGATCATTGATCTGCCCTGTGTATGCCTTATTCATTCATTCATTCCTTTCGTTGGTTCATCCATTCATTCATTCGTTGATGTTTTAACTCTTATTGTTTTTTTTTTATTCGCTGAAGTTTATTGGACACGGCACACTTCACAGCTTATTGCACAGACAACAATCACCAAACACAAATCGCAGACACAAACTGCAACAGCGTGCAGCAATACCGCTTATTTCTGGCCGGGGTTGAGATCGTCAGCATATGTATAGCAGGACACACAGCATGCACAACATAGTAAACTCGATTGTCGAAGACAGTGAGCGGGCGCCACTCCCTCCGTTTCGATTGTTCGTTGGCGTAACGAATCACGGGCCGCGGGCCCCCGCCCGCACCCCCGGAAATTCATTTTTCCCGGGGGTGCCCCCTAACCACCGCCCGGGCGAGGGGAGCGCCGACCCGACCCGACACTCGACAGGCCGGCGCCCCGCCCGCCCGGGCGGCCGACCGGTCCCTTTCAATTGGGACCGGTACGCAGGTTGGCCCGGATGGGTCATAGGGGCGGGGGCCCAATGCTCGGCAAAACTCAGGGCTCCGCCACAGGCCGGCGTTCAAACACAGTAACGTTCAACAATCTTCCGTTCAAACACAACAAACAGTAACCTAGGTGAGCAAAGAGCAACCAAACAAACAAGTAATTAAACAGACAACATAAACTACACTGTTAAAGAAACGGAATGATTGCATTGTAGTTATAAATGGACAAGTATTGTATCGAGAGTACATGAACCTCCAGGCTCCACGAATCAAAATTTAAGGCGTACCGGTTTCGTCTATTGACTTCTTCAGCGCCGTATGAAACAAGGAACCTTCCTTGTTTCATACGGCGCTGAAGAAGTCAATAGACGAAACCGGTACGCCTTAAATTTTGATTCGTGGAGCCTGGAGGTTCATGTACTCTCGAAGGAATGATTGCATTTATGTATGTGTAGGCATTTCTGTTTGTACTGGGTTGTGTTTGTGACTGTGTGCGTACCTGCATGTGTCGGTGTGCTTGTGCAATGTGTTTAACTCTTATTGTTGCCATTCATTGCTATCAAAGCTATCCTGATGGTACCTCACATCCTCTCAATGTTCTGTTATTCCTCAACTTTGTGGCAATAATGACCTGTGAATCCAGTGTGCCCCATTCTTCCCAGTGTGACCTGTGACCTGTCCCCCGTCTCAGGCGGCAGCCGTCCACGGCCGACCTGGACGCGCTGCGTGCTCTGGAGACGACCAAAGTGGACCCGGTGCGGTTCCCGGGCGTGTGCAACTGGCGCAGTCAGGTACTGGCCCGGTCTCGGACCCAGGGCTTCAGGTGAGTACGAGAGAGTGAGCGGGGGAGGGAGAGAGAGAGAGAGAGAGAGAGAGAGAGAGAGAGAGAGAGAGGGAGGGAGGGGGTTGCGGGAAGGGGTGGAATGGGAGGAAGGGAGAGGAGAGAAAAGAAGTGATGAAGATCAGGGCAAGAGTCTGGGACAGGTAGGACGGGTAGAGGAAAGAGAGCGCAAGATAGGGAATAGAGGTGGCTGATTAACGGGACTCTAAAGAGAAGAGGGCCCAATTAGGTAGGCTGCTGGGAGATGGATACATTACAAGTAAGGAGGGACGTTTTTGGTGTGGTTAAAAGAGTCGTGTTTTTGTTTTATTGAGTGTTTTTTTTTTCATTGGACGAATTGTGCCCACTAAATAATTCCTTGAACCGAAATGATAAGCATAGTTGACGTCGATAAATGCGAATATTCGGTGGGTCCTGCCCGTCCTGATTTACCTACGAGTTACGACACAACATTGCGGCCTTTAATTGCACTTGGAGTGCATTTTAACGCTATTATGTTTCAGATGCTAGGTTGTTTCCAAGTAAGGTAACCACTAACCAGTTTTGCAGATTTTTTTAAAGTCTATGTCGAATAAATGACTGGATTGGAGGTTACTGGTACGGCTTTTCTTCGTAGATATCAGTATCGTTCTTTTAGAGGATATCGATGCTGCATTAAAGGGACTATCCCACCTTTAACATGGGGTTTGAGTTGAGATAGCCAAGTTTGCGGCGAGGTTCAGAAACCACTATCTATCTAGGTTGCAACCCCCGCGGCCTCTTGGTGTTGAAGAAATTCGTTCCCTTCATTTGAAAATGGGCCTTGTACAAGGCCCTATCTTCAACATGGAGCGACCGTTAGTGTGACGTCACCTCGTTTAGTCATTCTGATTTAAATGGGTTTTTTCGTTGAAAAATTGCTTAAAACTTGGTCTGAACTTTGTTGTGATGCCTACAGAGTAAAAAGAATCAGCTTTATGACAGTAATGTGGCCTGGGGAAGGAGGTAATTTTGGGCAGTGACGTCACATATTTGAAAGTTTGTGTTTGGAATATGGGAAGCCTAAGATGTTAAATGAAAAATAAATGCCAGAACCGTGTTCCTGGTCATCCAATCTATAAAGTCGGGCACAATTTAACTGGTTTTAACAACATTTTAGAAGGTGGGATAGTCCCTTTAAAGCATGGCTGTTTGCCACCGTTTCGGTTAGGTTCCATTGTTCGTCGGAGCTTGTCTTTCGGTGGGTACTTTGCTCTGTTCCAGACATGTGCATGGATCCGAGAGCTGGATCTATGATCTCAGTGGATCTCTCGGCAAAATAGAGGGGTTGGATCTATGATCTGAGTGGATCTCTCGACAAAATTCAGGGGTCGGATCTATGATCTGAATGGATCTCTCGACAAAATTTAGGGGTCGGATCTATGATCTCTGTGGATCCAGCGGGCAAAAATTTGTGGAGGGCCTATGATCTGTATGGATCTCACGACAAGATGTAGCCAATGAAACCCTTATCCTACATAATTTTACACCTTACAATGCAATACAATTGAGAATTGTCACTTGTGGACATGGTTAGGACCAGTTGCAATCATTAAGTATCATCAATAAATTTGACTTTCAATAAAGAACATTTCTACTACATTTAGAATAAACCAAGAACATGCACATCGCTACTTTTTGTGACCAGTTGTAACTTTTTCATGACAGCACTGATGACAATCATATCAACAAGCTACAGCCACTTTAATTCAATGAACAAACAGTACAGACAGATGCAGTGGCGGCGGGGCACTGCAGACTTTTGGTCCCATTCTTTCCATGCAACACCAGTAGGGCTAATGTTAAAATGCAAAAATCTATGGGGGGCACGGTGCCCGGGTGCCACCCCCTCCCGTTCCGCCGCCTATGGACAGATGTTGGGAAATCAAACCTGGAAGCCAAGTAGGTTAGTCTTGCTCAAAATAATCCAGCAATCCACTTATTCTACCAGGTATGAAAACCCAATTTCGATTTAGTAAGAGAAAGAGTAGCAACCAACCTCTAATACTTTCCTAATAAAATTCCAAGTTCAAAAGAGGCATTAACTTCTTCAGATTACCTACTTTGGCACCGTGCCAAATGCGGTGCCATGCTGCTGTCGTAATGAGAGCCTCCCAAAAACGACAAACGAAATTCACAGCTCACGTTTTGGTAATATTGTTTTATTACGTCATTAACGTTTGACCAATGAAAAATCTTAATCTGACTAAAACCGTAATGATTCCAAAAGGTTCCCCGTTATAGGCCCTTTGGACTAATGACGTAAGATATTGTGATTTTTTTTTTGAAAAGTGAATACAAAAGATGCAGGGCGCACTTGTAGCACTCGCGCAATGAATGTCTCCCGCTCAAGGGCTATGTAATACCATTTCAGCTTACGTGTACGTCATTAAATTCAACGCTACAAAGATGATATTCACGAACAACCATAACGTAAAATTATGTGAGGCAGAAAAAAATGAACATTATTTTGAAGAAAAAAACAGACTTTTGAATTTCCAGTTTGATTTTTTATTTATTATTATTATACTCAAAGGTAGAACACTTAGCTCATTTGTTATTTGAAATGACGTCACCAATTCTATTTAGAGACTGAATAGTCATTTTACGGTATATATCCAAGGCCATTACAATTGATATTTCGCTTCCCCAGCGTGTTCCCAGGCTGTTGAATATTTTTATACTTTTGTTGATATCTCAGTTTATTTTATCAAATATTAGTTTCAATAGATTGAAATACCTTTACCTAGCCAAGCCACAGGTGTCAATATCATCTTTTATTGTTTATCAATTAATTGTGTTAGCTGGAAAGCCTCATGGTTGTCTAATGCAAGATTGTCTTATCAGTATGTAGATTCTAACATTAATTGTGATGTACCTAGTAATGTATTCTTCATTAGTCATTACTTACCTGTATCTTAATTGTTAATGCAAACTTTTCTGTTGGTATGTGAACAATCTTCATGTCACTCAATTCACTCAAGTTGTGACCGTCATGAGCCTCCTTTATTTTATATTCTGTATAATGTAAATGGATGCCCTTTACTAATATGGCCTTTGTATAAGATTGTTTGTTTCTAACCATACTTTGGTATTTATAACTTCTTTATACAAGAAAGTTTAAACATTTTGTGCACCTATGAGCTATGATCCCAGTGGATCTCACGACAAAATTGGGGAGCCAGATCTATGATCCGAGTGGATCTATCGACAAAATTGAAGGGTCAGATCTATGATCCCAGTAGATCTCTCGACAAAATTGAGGGGTTGGATCTATGATCTGAATGGATCTCGGATCGGGATCCATGGGATCGGATCTCAGATCCATTTTCCCGGATCCAAGCACATGTCTGCTCTGTTCGTTGTGGTGTTTCTTTTCGTTGTGCCCGAGGATGAAAATGGAAGGACAGGTAACACGAATCACCTTTATTTGTCTGTCACAATAATTCACATCAATCAAAAAAAAAAAATCGTCGGGATCCGCCCATCTGTTCAATTGCTGGATACGTGTCCTCTGATTTGCTGCCCGGTCAGCGGACTGACCAATGGGCGCCCTCTGCAGACGCTGTCCGACGGCGGTCCGCCCCCGCCCGGCGTCGCCGCCGCCCGCGGCCGCCCCCGCCCCCGCCGCCGCCCCGAGTCCCCGCCGCCGCCCGCCGATGTCGCCCGTTCTGGCGCTGAGCGGCGGCGCCAATTTGAGTCGCGCGCCGCGGCCGTGAGTAGTGCGACACCTATCGGTGGTGTCGTGAACTGCAGCTTCGGAATCCTGCCGGCGTTTCTGTCGCACATTCACTGTTGTTCGCACGCTGCTTCTGGCTGCGAATATAGTTCTGCGCTGTCGCTTATTTATAAAATATTATCATCTGCAACTCGTAACGCTTTGACTGTTTTCTAGCTTCGCCACTAAGTTCAGATGTATGTTAAGTTTAGATGCAACTTTCTCTGCACTGCTTCTTTTGCCCGTGACGAATAATTTTGTCAATGTTTCTTAGGGAGCATGCGGTTTAAGATAAATAAATAAATGAATATCGATCACCTACAGCACTCAGTACGTCCTACAGAGTGTCGCCGACGCCATCCCAACCCCACGAATCACGCTGGCTCCAGCCAAGGACTGTCCTCAACCATTTATTTATCCGGTCGTATTATCAGAGGTCTAACCCAGCTATATTGTGTCTTTGTTATATAGACGTAAAACCAGTAGAGTAAACCAGTAGAGTAAAACCAGTCTCTTTCAGTGTTTTTTTTTTTTATCTGCTAGCACTGATAGTTTGAACCTTTTTTTAACATTGTTTTTTGAACGGTGCTGTAAAAATGTCTAAATAAATCATTTTTGCACGCCTCTGTGGATTTTTTTCTTTTCTGGGCCTACCAACAAATAACATTCGTCTGTTCAAGAAGTTTGATTCTACCCATTCTACCCATACCTTTTGCGCATGGGTAGAAAATGTAACATCTGGATTTACGACGAAGCCGTGAGGTTATATATTTCTTATGTGTTGTTTAGCGTCTTCTTTCTCTGTGAATTATTTCCTTTGTTATGCAAGGGTTATGACGAATTCACTCTGTCACATATTTTGTTACCTACTCATTCATTTTGATCGACATTTCATTTTTACTCGTGTCTCAGTTTTTTAGATTTACCACCTAAATTCACGGTGTAAAGTTAATCTTATTGTTGCCTCTCATTATGGCATCAAATATTTTCACCTATCCTGTCTCTGCTTATGACGCCCCCCGTATGAAGCCACCGTGTGACGTCATGGTGTGACGTCACTGTGTGCCGTCTGTTGGCCAGGTTCGCCACGCCGCGCCGCCCGACGTGCCGTCCGCCGGCGGTACCTGAGGGGGACGGAGCGTCCCCCCTGGCCCGGCCGGCCTCCAGCCGACTGCCCCTGCAGCTCAGACCCTCCGCCGGCATCAACGGTCCTCGGTAGGGCCGGCTGGGGAGATGCCGTAGTGCATAGGAGAGAATGTCGCCAGGTCTAGTGGCAGCGGCGAGAAAAGGCGTCAGATCTAGTTACAAAACTGGGAGAAAGTCGGGAAATCTGGTAACGGCGATGAGAAAAAAAAACACGTTAGATCTGGTGAAAAGACAATGTGACAGAAAGTCGACAGATCAGCACGGGGCATTAGTAGGACATAGACGCCGGGTTTCGATAACATTTTCGTAGGCGCCTGATCTGCTGGTCATACTAAAATAATATCGATAGATAAGTTGATGGTAACAAGGTAACTCACTGATACGTGGTAGCAGTGACACCGTAAATGCGCCAAGTATGAAGCCAGTATGCATTCTATCATAACAAAAAAGCCTTAAAGTGATTTGCGGCCTGCCGCATTTAACGGTCTGTGTGAGGGTTGTCAGGACTGCTAGTTCGATGATATTAAAAAAAATCGTCAAAAATATATTCTGCTTCAACGATGCAAAGACCTCCCAAGTGTCTTAGTTTTCCATTTCACCATAATTTCACTCTGTGATTTCTGTAATTGTTCGTTATGCTAAAAGTGCTCAGTAACCAAACAGGACTTATGGCAAACGAGGTAATTCATTGAGTCAGAATGTCAGTGAAACCGTCAAGTGTTGCTGTCGTTTTAAGTGTGGTGTGTGAAACATATTCTGCCATTGTTCCAAAGTACCCTGCCTTGCAGTGCCGAGCAGTAAGCCGAGCGTTGGTCTTGCGCCGTTGCGGAGAGTGATGACGTGCTTTGTCTTCTGTTAGTGTCGAACTTCTACTGGGGAAAGGCTTCGCCGTCGCCTTCCCGCACTGCTATGTATTGTGGTGCAGCTGTGGTGTGATGATGTCACATATGACGTCAGTGCAGTGTGGCGTCATACAAATCCTGGTGTAGAATTCAGAGAAATGGCTGGCCAGAGGAGTGGTTGTCTTCCATGATATATTTTGCATTCCTATATTTTATCCCTCTGGCAATATCGCATGGTTTTCTCATACCTACCTGCTTTGAATCATCTCATCCGTCCTATCGGATCCTATTTTATGCCTACTCCATCAATGTTCTAAGTAGGTCTGTGCGCCTAGGCTGTGCCTTTTGTATCGCCACTCTGCCTCTGGACCAATTTAGTATTCCGCTTGGTAATTTCATCTGTTTTATTTACCTTTTCCATGCCGATCCAGCTTTGAAGAAATCAGCTTAGTGTTTTCGAAAGTTCTCATTTTCGTCATCATTTAGTGTTCCTCATTATCTTAAATATCCGTATAGATATTTTGCCATATCAGGATTTCAGAATTTGCATCTTTTGTAGCGTATCAATGGTTTAAATTGTTTTGTTTTTAACTTTTCACTCGCACATAGAATGCCATACTAGGGTAGCCATATTTCATGATACCAAAGTAACCCAGAGAAGACTTTATGCCCTGCTTGTGTGCTTTCTGGGTCAGAATTCAGAAGGTGATGTACGGCTCCATTTTCTAGAAGTGGTATCAATCATAGCGTAAGTTCAGTGTGTTGGGTTATGCACAGAGGCAGCTACCGGCCATCGATGACGTCATTAATCTGTGATGTCACCGGCTGGGTTGTCTGTTCGAGTGTTAATCTTTCTGATCGAGGCTGTTCTTCTTTCTGCTAGTAGTGGTGAAACCAGATTTGTTTCGTAATATGAAGTCGACTTTCTGCTGATGTGACTGACATCTCAGATATCGCGTTAATTACTGTATTCGGGGAGCACACACGGGAAGTTTACACCTATATCGAACGGCAAAGAACGGAACATATGTTCAACCAAGCATGTCTTTTACTATCCTATCTGTGTGTTCAGCGAGCTTCTCTTGTGCCAGGAGAGTGTAACGTTTAACGACCATGTCGGTACTGTGAAATGTGGCGCGTGTGGTCCATCTAGGGTCCAGTGTCACTCAGTGACGTACGGAGACTGGGTGCCGGACACACCCCCCATTGGGTGCCGTCGCACCCCCCACTGGGTGCAGTGCTGGGTGCCCCACTGGGTGCAGAGAGTACGGCGGTTAGGGGGCCGGTCCCTCGGCAATCGCCACTGCTGTGATAAGGGCTCTGTGGTTCTTGGTTATAAATACATAGCTGCGTTTGTTTGATGTGGGTGTGTATTAGTGAAGGCTCTTCTGCTTAGATTTGGCCTTTTCCATTTCCATATTTCATGTCGTTTTTAGGTCCTGAAAAGTTGGTCAGAAGAACAGCTCGTCGTCAGTGCCTCAAATTATCAACCATGCAAATATGTTCATTTATTCGATCCAATGTGATGCAAATAATGAATTAGCGACCGTAATTGTCAGATATACCAAATTATCAGGCCTGCCGCGCTATGTCGGCACCAGCTATGCATTTTATGTGACCGCCAAAGCATTCCTCAATATTCAGGAACGTTGCCGTACTGTTCATTTAGCTGAAAGATCGTGCATGGTATCCATGCACCTTGAACTTCCAGCTATCCGGGCTCTTCCTCGCACTGCAATGCTTCCATTCCACAAGACCTTCAGTCAGCCAGATGTCGCTGAAAGCTGTGAGATCCGCAGGTAGAGGTCAGGACAATCGAAGCCACGCTGCCGCCTGTGAGTACTTTGTACTTCTACTTGCCATCTATCGCTGTGGTATATTTACTGAGTCCACAGTTCCAAGTCTCAGTTGTTTTCTGTATGACAAAGTATTAACTAAATGAAACTATATCATCGCATGTTGAACGCAAATTCATGATGCAGTTTTGGACATCTGTGTCGCAAGTACTTTCGCTTCACCCCGTGCGAGTACTTTGTCCAGCTCTAGGAACCTTGGCAGTCTCGGCGGCCGGCTCCGGCGGACGCCCCGCCCCCTGGCCGCAGCCCGGCCCGGCCCGGCCGGCGCCCGTCCGCCCAGCCCCGTCCCAGTCCAGCTCAGCGGTGGTGGTAGCCAGCACAGAGCTCACAGCGCATACATCATGGCGGTGAGTAGAAACTCGGAGAGTTGGGGAACTGTGGAGGGTGAGAGGAGGTGTGTGGGTGGGGGTTGGTGACGTGTGTGAAAAGAGAGAGGGGGGAGCGCAGTTGCAGAGCTGTGAGAGCCACCAGGTATGCCTGAGGCCGGACCTGGGAGGGGCGGGGAGCGAGGATGGCAAGGTGCGATACAAACCGTGTATCCGAGGGAGTATTCTACTCTGGCAGCTCGACAAACTGTGAGCTGTGAGCATTAAGGAGAACCGGGGCTGGCTGCTGCTCTGTTTCTTCGGAAGTGACACCGAGCAGGCACGAAGCTGTGAATTCGGGACAGGCAGCGAGCCGAGCTCCCAGACTGCGAATTGGGTGGAATAGCTTGTATTCCGGCGTTGTTTGCGTTTCCAGAGCTATCGCCGGAAGCCGGTTTGGGGTGTGAATATCGGTCCGAACAATTTCGAGCGTGTTTCTTCCGCAAGCCACGCTGGCACCTTATTATGATGCCACGTTGGCGTGCTTTATGCATTCTGCACCACTTCATCGATTTGATGATAATCCAGCCTCGTCTCAGCCCGTCCACCGCCGCGACGAATCGTCCTGTCGCCCTGTGCCGATTGTCCTATCCTGTCTCCTGCCCTGTCATTGGATTGTGACCCCTTCCTTCCCCTCCCCTTCCTTCATCAGTCTCGAATGTCGCCCTGCAGACTGCAGCGGTTTTTGCTGGGAGGGCTGGGAGAGAAGGGGAGGGGTACCACAGATGTCGCTGCTCGGTCCAGCCCTTCCGGTCTGGATTCCCGCTCCGGGCGTAGTACGCGCCTAGTTGCTGGAGTTTACGGTGGCTCCGCCTGCTCCACTCACTCCAATAATGGTGGTGACTGGTGAACCCCTACCAATAATAATGTCCAATGTCCACGTGCTCTTGGCCGGCAGCTTCGTTTGCACTTTGCGGGCCCCATGCCATTGTCTCGCCATCCGAGCTTTCGTTCGTATTTCGCTCACCATGGCCTAAATCGCGCATTCCGTGACATCTCGGATTAGCATCAGCATGGGACTACTAACCGATCGCGTGATACCAGTGGACCTGATGTCTAGTAACGGATCCCGTGACCGCGCTCACGGACGGCCTATGGCTGACGTCACGGACTTCGTGACTGGAACCACGATCAGCCAAAACAGGCGACCGGACGTGGTGGCTGCACCGTCGCTGCTGCCGCTGTCGTTTTTACGTGGGCGGTGGGCTCACCCAGACCTCCCCACTCCAGTGGGGAGGGGTGTCGATGAGGGAGGGAGAGGTGTACTGTCGGCTTGGGGAGGGAGCTGACGACTGGGGAGGGGGAGTGGCTGTATCATCAACCATGGCGCTGGGTAGTGGCAGGTGCCAGATAGTGGTGTTGAATCTGTGCCGAGTTATCGTGATTATTGCCGGGGAGGCGTGACGCGGCTAGGGTAATAAGCGATTTGTGGTGTTGGTCCGCAAATCTGCGTTTTGCAGCCGCATGATAATCAGACGTCTGCAGCTAGATCGTCTTCCGTTGTAAGGCATAACAATCAACGCATTTACATCATCTGAGGATATGCGGGAAGTATCCGGGTTTTCGTTTTGCAGACATCCGTCCGTTTCTAATGCTGTTTCCAGCCCAGCAACACCTCGCCCTATGACGGCGGCGTCTTTAGAAACCGGTTACACCCGGTAGCTCCATGCCCGTTTCGTATCGTCACCGTATCAGGCTCTTTGGAGCGCGCTGTGTGGAAGATACCGTCAGTCCAACAACCCGACTCTGTAATGGTAAAAACCTGCAGGATTCTGGCTTGGTATGGGTCATAAATTATCTATCGTATGCGTTGGTGTGCGGTTTTAATGGGTTTGGCAATGCTGCATGCTACAATCTATATAACTACTTGCGTAGTGCTCGAGTTATCTGATTGTGTTATGTCCTAAGTTATGTTTGTCGCTTGTTTACAGGTCAATTTGCCCGAAACATCTCTGTTCAGGACCTGACTGTGGAATTCATTTCCTGCTTGGTCTCACATTAGCTATTCCTTTAACCTACCTTAGTATCACCGAATGGCTCAACCCCATTCCAAACTGAGCCGATTCACGCGATATGCTGGTCATTTTGAGTCTCGCCCACAGAACCCATGGCATGAATGAACCTATTCGCCTTACTAGCCAGAAAAATGCGTGCCTCATTTGATGATACCGCCCAACTGGCCAGCGGTTATGTCTGTCCGTCCGCCGCCCCCGCGCAGACTCTAGTGCGCCGCCGCCGCCGCCGCCGCCGCCCCCGCCCACGTCAGATTTCGTGGGACAGCGACGGTCGGTGGCCTCGTGACCTGGACTTACACCGGTCCCGTACGCTGGGGTGGGGTGGTGTGGGGTGGGGTTGTCAGGCGAAAAAAAAAACGAACAGGTGAGGGAGGGCGAGAGAGTGACGTGTACATTGTGGGAGGGGCTGTAAGGGAAAGGAGAAATAGAGGGAAGAGACCCAGGGAAGGAAACAGAGCGACAGACAGACAGACAAGCAGACGTATAGGGAGCGAGGAATGATGCGCCGACATCAAATTTATTTCGACATCCTGCATAGGAGTTGGGCCTTGGAAGTGTTTTGCCACTCGCTGACCGCAGCAGGCAGAGCGGGAATGGAAGAGCGCGGAGGCGGCAGCCGTACGGCGGGCCATGAGGTCACAGAACAGCTGCAGTGAGTCAGTGACGTCACCGAATGCCAGATTGATGACGTCAGCCCACGAACCGGATTTTACCGGTTCGCGGAATGAAATGGGATTGGAGGGGATATCTGAACTGAAGAGTGGTTAGTAGGTAACATGATTGTCCAGCATGATTACTTTCTGCCATTTCTTGTAAGTCCACTTTGAATTGTGGCGCTGCCGTTGAGAGAGATACAGCCGCTGCATTGTTTATAAGACTGAAAACGATGTCGAATGTATCGTGACACCGCCATTGACAATCGGGCACCGACTGCCAATGCCAAAACCTGTCCCAGTGCAGCGTTTCCACACGTCTTCAGTCGCCTGAATCATACCTCCAGTCGCCGATTCACCACAACCAGTCGCGGGGCTGTGGCGTTGCGAGGCTCGACTCGAGGCTCGCTCTCTCGCCGCGGACAACACGGTCCATGTCCGACCTTCACCTTGGCACATCTCCCAACTCTCCCGACTCTCCCAGCGGGCCTCTCTGGGCCTCTACCGTCGCCGGCCCCTGGCGCTAGCAGGCCACAGTGGCTAACAGGCTACACAGCAGCTAACAGGCCACAGCAGCTAACAGGCCACAGTGGCTAACAGGCCACATCAGCTAACAGGCTACACAGCAGCTAACAGGCCACAGCAGCTAACAGGCCACAGCAGCTAACAGGCCACAGCAGCTAACAGGCCACAGCAGCTAGCAGGCTACAGCAGCTAACAGGCCACAGCAGCTAACAGGCTACAGCAGCTAACAGGCCACAGTGGCTAACCGGCTACAGCAGCTAACAGGCCACAGTGGCTAACAGGCTACAGCAGCTAACAGGCTACAGTGGCTGAACTGTTCGTGGGCTGTGGTCTCTGCTGGGAGGGAGGACGGAGGGACGGACTGGTGGGTGGATGAATGAAGTGAATGAGGGAGAGAGAGAGAGAGAGAGAGAGAGAGAGAGAGAGAGAGAGAGAGAGAGAGAGAGAGAGAGAGAGAGAGAGAGAGAGAGAGAGAGAGAGAGAGATAGAGAGAGAGAGAGAGAGAGAGAGAGAGAGAGAGAGAGAGAGAGAGAGAGAGAGAGAGAGAGAGAGAGAGCTCAAAACCGAGGGAGAGATTCAAAACTAACGGCCAGCTGAGTGAGATTAACGCTGAAAACCCTACCCCACCTCACGATCATCTCAAGAGCCATGTTCCCTCACAAATCCAAACAAAAACGGGGACATCCGAGCCAATTTCTAGCGTCATGTGGCTGCTGTTTCCGTGTGCTCCGTCAGACAGCTTTTTGCTGAGCTCCTTGGTCGGCAGGCTCACTTAGATTGACAGTGATTGGTTAATTTGGCCACAGGCGGTTGTTTGAATGAATGCCGTACTGCGACAATGTTGACTATTGGTCAGGCCAAAAATATCAGTCAAGGAAGAGTCTAGAAAATAACACCGGCATTAAAACTCCTAACCTCGCTGTCCAACTACAGCTAGATTTCGAAAC